ATTCACTGTGTCACAGAAAGATGCCTGAAATAGTCATTCACTGTTATTCATCTTTTTGTACAGTTTACAGAAATAATTAGTATTCCATTTGACAAACAAGTGCAAACATCCATTAGCTAAATGACAAAACATATACTTTGACTAGGTCTGTAACTTCCACTAGAACTCAATCAGTCGTATCTGCTGAACAGTACCATAAAGGAGTACACAGCTCTTGGTATATGTATAATTGCTCTGGTTAGGAGGTCACTGAGGTATTTAAAGAAATAAAAAATATTGGACAGCCTTATCGGTCTTTGAAATCAGAAGAAAAGAGGAAAAAAACATTTTTGTATGTAATCTGTAAATTACACATTTGCTGTTTTTCTGAATTAGTTAATCTGCAAATACCTACTATATTCTGAGCGCAAAGGACAGCTTGAATAATGATATCCAAAACTTTGGAGATTAATTGATTAGCTGTAAACATGAGATTGCTTTTTTTAACTTTTCATCTGACAGCTTACACGAGTTACAAGAATGAGTTGGAATGCATCTACATGTATAACCACCACTTACATGATACTGCTTTGGAGATGTAACTGATGGGTTTGCATGAGGTAGGATTTAATTAATTTTCTGTGCGTTTTCTGCTAGCTATGGTAGAAGTTATTTTGAAGATTCTTATTATATGCTGATGTCACAGTTTAACCCCAGCCAACGATTAGGCACCATGCCTCTGCGCACTCACTCCTCCCCGTGCTGGTGGGAGGGGAAAGAGAATTGGAAAAGAAAGAGATAAGAACAGTTTAATAACTGAAACAAAATAAAAAATAATAATAATAGTAAAGAAAAGGAATATAACCAAAAGAGAGGAACAAAGCCCAAGACGAGATAAGTGATGCACAATGCAGTTGCTCACCTTCCACTGACTGATGCCTGAGCAGCCACTGGCCCCTCCCAGCCAGCTCCCCCCAGTTTATGTACTGGGCATGATGTCCTGTGGTATGGAATATCCCTTTGGCTAGCTCGGGTCAGCTCTCCTGGCCAGGCTCCCTCCCAGCCTCTTGTGTCCCTGCTCGCTGGCAGAGCATGGGGAACTAAAAAATCTTTGACTGAGTATAAACACCACTTAGCAACAATTAAAACATCAGCATGTTACCAACATTATTCTCCTACTAAATCCAAAACACAGCACTGCACCAGCAAGTAGGAAGAAAATTAACTCTATCCCAGCCATAGCCAGAACAGCAGATGGGAGCAAAGTTGATAAGAAAGAGCTCCTTTTATGCATTTTTAATTTTTTAAAAAAATCTTTCTATAAATACACTGTTTTCTTGCAGCTTTGTATATAATACAGAACCCTCAAACTGCTCTTTAAAGTAAATTTCTGTTGAGGAAGATGACCTGTCAAATGGTAACTAATGCAACTTTGTTTTCTACACAGTAGAGAACAAGTGAAAACATACTGGGCTTAGACACCAAATTTTCTCCCTCCACTGTAAGGCACTGGGAGACCAGGAGGTCCAGCGCCTTTCTTCCCCAGGGTCCTGGATGTGCTGAGGCGCTTGTAAGTGACTGAAACCGAACAGATCCTCCACATCTGAGAACACATCGTTTCAGTTCTGACTAGACAGGTGGCAGAGGCACCTTCCTGCTCACCAAACTTGCACCCATATAGAGGTCAGACATACATATCTTCTGATGTAAACATTCTCTTATACTGTAAATACACGAGCTTTCAGAAGAGATCTTGTAATACACATTCTGCAGCAAAAACGTTCTTTCAGAATTATCAGTGGAGACATGTCAGCTGCAGTATTCTTGTACACTGTAGAGAACTACATGGGTTTGTTATTGCACAAGGAAGTAAAGAAAGCATCTCTTTCACATCTCAGCAGAAACCTAGTTTTAAATATGTTAAAAATATACCTAGAATTCTGAAAAAAAATATTAAGGAGCTTATCTTTTATGTATGAACCAATTGCTGGAAATTATCTATGTTCCAGCATTTGTTTTAAACTTTCTCACAGAAATGACCATCAGAAGACTCACAGAAGGTTCCGGTCTCACTTGAAGCAGTAAGAAAGCACTTTTGCTGCGCCTTCTCAGGGCACCAGTCTAACTGAGCTGGTAAAAACTGGAAGTAGAAAGAGGAGACTTTCTCGGCTTCATACTACCTTGGACACCTTATAAAATGGTGTAATGCCCATACAAAGCTACCTGCTGCCTCTTTCTGTGTGTCTGATAGAAAAGCATGGTTTCGGACAGAACCCAGCATTGTAAAGTTACATTAACTTCAGAAGTGCTGAGAAGCCAATGTTTGGCAATGTATTGAAGCAGATGTAAAAGCATACCTATTAGCTAGGAACTAAGAAGGGCTGCGGTGTCACAATTTAACACATGCAGTGCCTGAAAGTCATTATCACATTAACCTAGAGGTCGGCAGGTGAGGGCAGTTATCAGTGGCACCCAAAGCACACCATGAGCATGTCCCCAGGGTACTGAATATACTCTAAGAGGAAAGTGCTCTGAAACTGTAAGCGCTGTACTCAGGCTACTAATCTAGGTTTATTAATTTTATATTACTGAGGCCCTGGTACTTCATGGACCAAGGCAGCACCTCTAAGTGTTACCAAAACATAGTTATGAAATCAGACTAGTGCTAGTTCAAAATTTGTTTGTGTTGTGCTCCATTGTACGTATGCATAAATCTAGCGCGGGCTCCTATATGTGTTTGGAGGGATTACACTTGGTTATTGCTTGCTGTGGCACAAAATACGAACAATCAGCCTTGTAAAAGCCATCCTTAAGTGGACATATTCCAGAACTTTGTTCCTCTTTCAGGATGAAGCAACTCATGTAAGATCTAAATAATCTCTCTTAAAATGAAATGCTGTCTCAAAGTCACCATAGATGTAACATAATCAAAGACATTAAGCTAAATGATTTTGACTGTAGAGATGTTTTTAGATGTTTTAAAAATATACTCTGCAATAAAAATCATAAAATGTATGTATCATAAAATCATACGTAGATGGGTAAAAAGTGTAAAAATGCTATTATTTGTGTTGAGGTAAGGTACAATAACAATTGCCTAAACAGAAGTCCAGCCTTAGGGAAGTTGCAGATGCTTGAAGAACTATTCTCAGTAATTCTAAAAGTGCTTCATTTCCTTAGTTATTGCATTACTGGGTGTTTTCATTGTATTTAGCTTGTTTTGCAGTTTAGCAGGGTCAGTATATAATGATCTGTAATGAATATCTGGCTGTTAAGAACAGACATAATTACTGTAGGTGAGGTTGCCATTTTCTGCATGTTTTACTGTAGGTTATAAAAATGCCTGGTGGTGAGCATGATATTCTGTTTAGCTGCAGCTTCTCTACCTTGTTGAACCAGAGATCATCACAATAAGTTCTTAGGAAACATTATCATTTATAACCCACTTCAGTGAGAACTGGATACATATTTTGTTCAGCAGTTGAATAAAATATTGAAGTAGGTTAGTGAAAGAGGTGAAGATATATTTACTCCATGGAGAGTACTTTTTGTTGTAAAAAATAAAAAGCAAAATTAGAGGCAATTAAAAATGCCTAAATGCTACAGTGATAGAATTTCATGCATTCTGGTTAAAGTATTATAGTCCTTATTCATATAAATTTTTCTCTTAAAGGGCTCTAGTAGTCAATACAAAATTTAATCTCACAAAAATTCATTATTGTTTAGAACTGGCAACATTTGTCATTATGCAGTTGTGTGGCCATAAGACAAAGTGTAAAACTGGACCATTCTTTTAGCCACTAGCTAGAACAAACTCCTCCTGTTGAATCAAGGACAGAGAGGGACAGAACTGGTAAAGGCCATGTGTTATTTTACACTGTTATTACCAGAAGTGTTAGGCAACAAATAACAGTGGCTATGAGAAAAATAAGTTGGAAAAATAAAGGAAGAGAAAATCAAATCACTGTCTCCAAAATGACAGATCAAACTCTATCAGTCTGACAAAGAAAATACAGGTTATTTAGCCTTTCCACACAGAATCATCTTTTCTGTTTACCACCCTCTTGTGCACCACCTTGTAACACACACTCTTCCTCTACTTTTGTGGGGTTTTTTTCCCCATATATTACACTTACTTCTCGGGCACTACTGCTGAGAGGAATCTGTATGTTAAGTAAGCTACCAAGCTATGTTATAACCCCTATCCATTTTTACAAACATAAGTATGACCACACTGGATGAGACCAAAGATTCACACAGTCTACTTTATCTGTCTCCAGTGCTCATCAACAGCAGACCCCAAAGGCATAGAATAAAAATGGGGCAAACAAGTGGTGTTTCCTGTGGATCTTTTCCTAGCCTCCAATAATCTGCAGCTCAATAATTTCATTAACCAAATATGTTCACATTTAATGCCCTCAACAGATTTTTCTCCGTGCTTCCCGACTCCTATAAATTGATGTCTTCGAATTCTTGTAGCAAAAAAATTCTTCAGAGTAACACATCCCGGTCGTTTGAACTGCCAGATAGTACTTTCTGTAATGTAGATTATTAAGAGCTGTCCCCCATACTCCTTCTGGGAACTTGACTCGGTCATCAGAGCAATAGGGCTGAGATCTTGCATATTTTTCTTTGTCTGGCCCACCAGTCAGAGGAAGGTGACCTTAGCATGGGTATTTCTGTTGGTACTCTTCAACTCTGAGTGACTTTTCTGCTGAGATTACACTCTTGGTATATAAGTAGATTTTCCCCCACTTCTTTCTCGTATGTTTTTACATCATCCAGATTTCCTCCCTTAGAGTGGGAATGATTCCCTTTCCCATGCATGCACATTCTGTTTCTAAACTCGGTGTATCAGGACCCCAGCAGTACCAGGTGCTAGTTAACTCATTAATTCCAAGTATGTTACTCTCTTCATTTCAATGCATGATTTCCACAACGCCTGTTTTATCACTGTGCACTAAAGGAAGAAAGCCAATATATATATATATAATAAAAACAAAGGGGTTATGGCTACTTACCAAGTGAAGATAAGACACAGTAAGGTAGATATTAAAATGAGAACTTGGTTAAACATTGCAGACTGTGTGCGTTGGATGGCTCGGTGAAGATCATTCTGCATTAATGGAAAATAGTGTTATTTTGGGGGTTGAATTAATAAGGTCTGACGTGATTCTATAGAGGAATTATATAGTGCCCTGATAAAATACAGTCATTCAAACCACTTAGAATTTGCTGATCATATAAAAGGGTGCAGAAGAGCCAGCTGTGATCTTGTGATTATTTAACTAGTTCTTTGTTCACCCTGGCACAATTCTGATACTATTGCAAGCTGCCTCAACGTCTGTCTACTCATGTCTATCTTACAAATTACAGGCTGCAAGGACCAATTAAGGCACAGCAGTTGAGTTCCCTGCAATTGTGTACGAATGGAAAAGTAGCAAAAGAACCAGCCAATCCAACTTTCCTTTATTGGCATAGTAACAATTTATACCAATTGAGATTTCACTCAGTGTCTTTTTTTCCCCTAATTTTGATGCAGAAAGCAGTTTAGCAATGCTTGATCATTTGTGCAATCTAAATACAGATCTGGTTAACTTCCTACTAAAGTGGGACACTGGACTGTAATGCTGAAATCCCAGTAAAGACAATATACTAAAAAAACAGAAACTCTAAAATAGATCTTATTTTTGTCATACTTACAATCATGTTCTCTAAAGCATGCTTTGCCAGCCAACAATTTAAAAATACAGGAATAAACAGGTTTCTTAGTACTGGCCAGAAAATCTGAAAAGAAAAATTAACAAATTCATTAAAACCTTTTCTGTTTAAGCAGCAATAAAACTCTTGGGAAAATACTTATTATTAAAGTGCTTCTAGAGTGAGATATCACTTTCAATAACATTTTTTATTCCTTTGTGATGAACTGTATGTAAGACAATTAAATAAAATAAGGATAGTTTTATCAGTTTTCAGTCCAGACACAAGAGATCCTTAGATGTTTTTTGTTTGTCTCCTGTCAACGATGAGGAAAGTGATCTGCAGGATTACTTCATTCAAATACCAAACTATTCTTGTTGACAAATTTCTGTTCCTGCAGGCACAAATCTGTCATCCACATGAGATTCAAATTTACTTCAATAAAAATTAAGAGCATCTGTGCAGCTATAAAAGTGCAATGTGCAAATGTATTAATCCAAGTAAGCTTTACCGTGATGATGAAAGGGACAGCATTAATTATTTCCAGAAGAAAGGGTATTCTCAGAATCTGTTCCCATATATTTCCCTTTAAAGAAAAAAACAACAACAACAACAAAAAAAAACACCAGGTCACAGTAGGCTTACATATAGTTCCAATGAGAAATATATATGATATTCCAATGCCACCTATGGAATCTCTCGCACTAGTTGAATTTCAGGAAGATCATTAATCTCAGATTTAAACACATATGTCAAAGGTGAGTAAAGAATATAGGCCACTCTAGCCTCTTTTACTCACTGTCTATCATAATGTACCTCACAGGTAAAAATATATACTTTTAAATCTGTATTTTTACTAGAGCAGGTCTCTGTTTCCATATGACTATATATTTCCTTGCTATGACCTAGTTAGTGAGACAGCTCAAATGAAGAATCCTAGTTGCAGTAACCAGTCAACTCATTCTCTCAGCTACTGAAGAGCTTAAGTTAAGCTTTCATTTTTTTAAAAAAGAATAATACGCTCCTGTTTTCTTTTATTGCATTTTTAGGTACCTTGCTTAGAAGATTTTACTATCAAATCAACTATTTTGATTACCCCTATGCACAGGTGACTCCCCTATAGTCCATAGTAATGTTTGTTGTAGATGAGTCACTCTCCGTACCCTTCTGACAGAACTTCATGGCAAAACATAAAGCAAAGGGGGAATGCAAATATGGTTTATTTTCCAAATTAAAAATACCAGCTCATCCTCTCTTAATCTTGTTTCATTAGCCTCGGCATGTCAGTCACAGAGGTCTGGATATTTCTCTTTATTAATTCTAATCTTGGTATTAAGATATTAACTTATTAAGAAATAAGTATTAAAAAGAGGAATGAAATTAAATTAGGGGAAAGAGCAGTATTCTGTAGTAAGTATTCCTTCCTTTGCATTTATCTTCTTTTATCTTTACTTTGTATTTTCTCTTTCCCAGATGTTTTGGAGAGAGAAGCAAGGAAGACAATCTAGTGTTTAATGCTTGAGGTGGGACTACAAGATCAAAGTCTTGTATTTCTGTCACAAAAACTTCAGTTCATGGGGGCTTTTTGGAACTTGATCTTATTCATATGAAATTAGAGGTCTTCCCACATACTTCAAGGAATGGTACTGATCTTTTAATGCACTATCTGCTAGCTACAGGATAGGGATAATCCTACTTCCTTTCCACATCTAAGCAGTGACTGAAAATAATTAAATGGTGGGATGAAAATCTATACATTTAAAAAAGGAGGTATTTAAAATTCAAGGACTTACAGCTTTACTTATGCTATATATCAAGATTCCATCATAGGTAATGCAATAACAATGTAGCATATATCATGGTAATATTACAAGAACCTGCAGTACAGTACAGCATTATGTTTTCAGTTGCAATGAGATATCTTTCCTGTTAAAGTAACTATCTGACATAACCACTGAAAATTAAATTCAAGCTCCATAGCATACAGAATCCTTTTTCTGTTTTTAACTTTTCACATCTGGAAGCCATTGTACCTATGGGGCAGGGACTGTTGTCTTTCATGTAATTGTAATTGGTGGGAGTTAAGACATACTTGAATAATCTTAAATATTTCATGTGATAAGCAGCCCTGTAAACAGAAGTGAAATTATCACAGAATCACAGAATATCCCATTGGAAGGATCATCTGTTACAACCTTTCTTTGGAAAATATAAGATGGCCCAGCACCCTGTCCAGCCTAATCTTAGGAGTGTTCAATAATTTTCCCACTTCCTTGGGGAGATTATTCCAATGGCTGATTGTCCTTGTGAAAAATTTTCCTCCAATCAGAATCTCTCCAGGATTAACTTGTACCCATGACCCCTAGTCTTCTCCATGTGACTCCTTTTGAAAGGCGTGGCTCCATCTTCTTTGTAGCCTGCCTTTAAATACTGGAACATGGTGTTAAGGTCACTCCTAAGCCGCCTTCTCTCAAGGGTGCACAAACCCAGTTCTCTCAGCCTTTCCTCACATGGCAGCTTCCCAGTCCTTTCATCATCTTTGTGGGCCTTCTCTGGACCCTCTCCAGCCTGTCCACATCTTTTTTTTGGATGGAGGGGACCAAATCTGCACACGGTGTTCCAGGTGTGGCCTAACAAGCACCGAGTAGAGTGGGATGATGACTCCTTTACCTCTGCCGGTGATGCCCTTCTTGATGCAACCCAATAGCATCAGAGAGATGGGTAACACAAGTATGTAAGTATCCATAATTTTTGAAAAAATAGTGCTGTCTTGGCCTAGTTTTTAGTGTCCTGTTTTAGAGGCCAGAAACTGAGTAGCTAAAACTTTGACATCAATGAGAATCATGTCCATGGCATTATGAACAGACATATAAAACTGTCCACTTGAAAAATCAGTACCCAAAAATCAAAGTCACTTTTGATAATGTGTTTTCAAATTACAATGTAACAGTGGGCAATGGAAAAAAATGGAAATTTCATTTCTGGCTTCTACTTTCTACATATTAGTGTTTGCTCATAAATTTGGGAAACATGAACACAGCTGCTGGTGACAATATGACACCCTGTACATGTGTGTTTTTCTTACCTTCCTGCTTTACATTAGCAAGGGTATAAATGCGACCACATTAATTTTATATTGAAACATTTAACTCAGTTACTTTTTGTGATGAACTAGGCCTAGAGGTAACTAGAAGTACTTAAAAGTACTTACCTTGTAGCTTAGATAACTCAGCAGCAGAGTTTCAAAGAGACTTATTAAAGCCACGGAAACCTTAAGTGATAAAATAGGTGTATTAATACTGTCTTCTAAAGAAGACATGATGTTAAGCATTACAATGAAAAGCAAAAGATATTAAAAAACAGCTTTTCTGTGTATCCTCTGAAACCATCTCAGCTAACAGCATTTAGCATGAAGCTCAGATGTTATCTTCCTGACTAAAGCACAGTCTGTGCTTGACTCTCTTTGCTCTTTTCCAATTCCAGTACTGCAGAGAGCCTGCAGGGTGGCCTGTCCAGGAGTTTTAGAGAGCTCCATAGATAGTTATGTCTGCCAGATTGTTTCTTGAGTTTCAGCTGTCTCATCCTAAAAGGTACATATCGTTTCACAAGACAGAGAAAGAGAGAGGAGGAAGCTGTAAACAACGGAAGCTATTTACTTTTATGTAAAGATGTTATGAATGTGTAGAAAAACAAACATTTTCCTTACTGTGTACAATTCAGAAAGTTGAAAACAGCAAAAAATTATACAGATGAATCATCATTGATTTTATTTAAATGCAACTAAGCTCAACTTATCAGCCTTTATTTAGATTGCATATAGTTAGCGTATCATGTAACATAAAATATTTTAAAAGACAAATATCAAAATAGTAAAAACTTTACTTAAAACATTATACATATTAAATAACCACAAAACTTACTTACATCCTTTGCATAGAAAATAGTTTTTTGAATGTAAATTGTGGGAATATTCTATCAAGTTGTACAAATTCAACCGCAACCTGAAGTGAAGGAAGCCTCAGAATTTCTGTTTTTAAACTAATTCTCACTACTACTGAAAACTCAGAACACTGCATTATTTGCACTCACAATACCATTATCTAGAATTCAAAAAGATGCTGTGAATTGGAAAATTATTAAAATATGCAATAAAAATATCCATTTCTTGAAGTGAATATTACTGTTTCATATAAAGTCAGGTTGTATCTCAAATAAAAATAAATATTTGCAACTATTGTAAATATATGCATGTGTATATGCACATGCATACACATGCACATATGTATAAATTCCTATGTTTATCAAATAATAACACTGTAACCATAAGCAAATCTCTAAGTGGTTTTTAATAGAATTGAACACTGTAATCTGAAAGTCTAGGTCAAAATTTATTCAAACCGTGTGTAGGTTAAGCAAGGCATTGAAAGGAATTTTCATCAAGGGATTCTTCCCTTAGTAAAATTATGTATTATGAGCAGGCTCCAGGATGCTGAAGATTGAACCACAAACTTCAAAAGATCTCTAAGACCCACAAAGCACTGATGTAGTGCATCTTTTGTGACCTACTGCTCTAAACATGTAGGCTTCTATGTTTTGAAGTAACTTCAGCTTTCTAGTGTATTTTAAGAAAGCCCAAGAAGCATGTCAAAAGCTAGTTATAAGCAATTATGAAATTTAATCATCATTACAGCAAACAGTGATTATTTGACTCAACAAAGCTTGATTATTTTAAGAGAAAAGGCTATCTAATACTACAGTGGTTTAACATTTAATACTCATAAGTATATTATAAAGTCATATAAATTTGAATCATCTCACCTCAGTTTATGTTTTTGTTGTGCCTAGTCATCAAATAGATTTCATTTATACCAACTTTTTCCAGTATCCTCTAATATCACAAAAATGCTATAAATCAATATTGTCTACACTTATTAAATTGAAATAAATTGGCTATTTACATATTACCTGTAATCCCCACAAAGGCAAGCTTCGATTCACCCAAATAATAGGAGACCTGTTAATTATAATAAGAAAACAAATACAAAATTAATCAAAATCTGTGTTTTGGTAAAAATAAAGAGAAAAAAATTGTACATTTGAATGGAAATTACAGCAGCCTTATTTAAAAAAAAATACTCTGTAATAAAAATTTTACATCAATGGTTATCTACTAAGTATTGATATTGCTTGTATTTCTAATCCAGAGCCATTCTCTGAGTTTTCATGGGAGTAATCCAACACTCAGTGACAACAAAATCTTTTATTGGCTTCACTGGTTGTTAGTGCATCCCCTGTGATTCCACAAAGAATAAATAAATTTATGCTTTTGATCCTGTAGATGCAGAGGAATAACTTTCTGTAGCAGGAAAAAGAAACTTTTCTTTTTGTGAACTTTTTGCTATGTGTGTAATGATATAATTTATATCTAACTCATAGGGGCTGTCGTATCTTGGAAAAGTTTCATGTTGTCTTGGTATTTAGTAAATCATAGAATCATTAGATTGGAAAAGATCTCTAAGTTCATTAAGTCAAACCATCACCCAACACTACCATGACCATTAAACCATGTCCCCAAGTGCCACATCTACACAATGATGTACACAAACTCAATGATAATACACAGTTGATGCAGTACTACTGGAATCTGGCACACTCAATGGCACAATAGTCTACTGTTAGTCATTTACTGCTAGTCATAATTGTTTTTCAAATAAGGGCATCTAGAACTTCAACAAGGTATAAGCATTGATGACACTAAGATCTTAAAAAAGCATCCAATCCAGTAGCTCACTTATCAAAGAAACAATTAAAATATTAAAGGCAGTTTTGAATATTCAGGAATGTAGAATTAATTACTTGAGAGTTAGGGAAACATCACAATTATATGTTAAAAAGTCAGCATTCCAGACAGGAATGGATTTGTCTTCCTGTTTTCCTTCCTTCCCACCATGACATGGACTTTTGTTTTGCTTTTTTTAAATTAGGAACTCACCAATCAATTGTTCCAGGTGTGTAGTTTTGACTGGGACAACTTCGATTTAACTCCTTACTGATCATTGTCATCCCATCCATGCAAAATCCATTTTCATCAGCAAATGTATATGGGAACATGACCATAAAAACATATGGGAGGAAAGAGAAATTAATTACATTATTATGTCTTCTATAAAATGCATGCAACAGTTTTAAACCCTTGGCAATGTATAGACATTTTAAAAAGTAGTGACTTTTAGAAAGTAGTTCTGTACGTGTTCCATATCTGCAGGTAAAGAAGTAGGAAGTATTTCAGGTTACAGCTTTTAGATATTTATTTTCAAACATGTTCCAATCTAAAAACAAAACAGCTAAAATTATACTTTCAAAAGCTGAACTAGATATTGAAGAAGTCATCCAAGGAAACCTATCACATGGATAGGCCAGGTTAAAAAGAGCACATAGACTTACACCCCCCAGGCTCTCAATAGGAAAGATTTCATCAAACTACACTTTGTAACCTCTTGTGAGGATGTGAGGAGGGCTGGAGATTCTTGCTGCAGTACTCAAGTAAGAAACTGGTGACATCTTTGTAAAAGAAATTGTTGCTATGTACATGTGACATTAACTCGCCTTGGACTGCTGGCATAAGTCTTCCCTTGAAACTTCCATGTAAGGATATGGGAATACGTATTTGTGTAATGATGAAAAATATCCTTGTTTCTCCTTGGCAAGCAAGGTCAGCAGAAAAGGATTTGCAGAGTCCAGGTTAGTAATAGGTGAATTTTTACCAACTACGAGTGGGGCAGGTGCTAATTGAAATTAATTAAGGACGCTTCATGTCTTAAGCTCTTCTGCTGTGCCTGAAGGAGTAAATGAAAGACACTGACTTGTTCTGGGATTTCTGGAAAACAGGAAATAAAACTTCAGGGGGAGTCTGTGATGAAAACCATTATACCCAGAACTGCCACTTTAAAAACACCTAGGTGATGATGTTTTCTGTGGCCATGCTCTCCCCACACTAAGTAGTTTAGTTCCCTTCATCACCTGTGATACAGTATCTAGACCAGATGTTTTTATCAGGCTGCATTTGTAAGCATGCATTAAGCAGCAGGGATCTTTATGGGCAAAACCACCCACATTGACGGGGTACCACTGACATTAATGGGGTACCACTTGGGCACAGGGCTGGTTTGTCTGGCCTAGCATCCAGGACTGGGGTCTTAGTTGAGCATGCAGAAGTGACTTCACCAGAACTTCTAAGCCAGACAAATGTCATACAGAGAGAGAACAAACCAACTAGTCTCTTAAATGTACCACAATGAAATATAAGGGAATAATGCACAGAGAAAATACTCCTTCTGGCTGGTGAATTGATAAACATCTAGATTGAAGGAACAAACATGTCAGGAAAGGCTTGAAGAATGAAGCAGTCTGCAAGATGCAGAACAATCTTTGCATATGAATACACAAGCATTGATAAATGATCTTTGATCAAGACTGATTGATCATCATTGATGATCTGTTACTTCTGTGGCAGAAGTGCTGCTGTTCTATTCTGTTCTGTATACCCAGACATAACCTTAAAATATAATACACTCATTAGGGCTCACTAGAGTTCTCAGAGCAAAACAACATCAGCAGCCTCCTCATACCAGAAACTACCATTAGCTGTAAAATTTCAAGTCCCTATGCTGCTGTGTTACCATGCCTAAATTTCTAAGGCTGGATTTCCTCTTCTCCATCACTGCTAAAGGTTTAGGCAAATCTTTATTGCTTGTTTCCTCCTGCAACATTTCCTTTCCTGAAAGAGACATTCTAAGATACATATAGAGTCAAAAAACCATTTTTTTGCAGTTCTTGCTTTTCCCAGGAGATTGTTTTCTGGCCCTTTTCATATGTTCTAATTTCATACAATAAATTTTGCCAAAAAGAGTTTCTCAAATGCATTTCCTGTACTTCCCATTCACATATCATTCTCTTATGCACTGCTGAGTAAAGCTGGTATTCTCTAACTCACTTTGGTGTGGATTTGATTTTTGTAAAATATAGTATTTCTCCTGTGCACTACCTTTTTTGTGGTATTACCCTTACTAGATTTACATGATTTTCAGCTATTAAAATTAGAATTCATGCTTTGTCAAACATTGTGTGAATCACGCTAGGTCTATTCTACCAATATTTTCATATGTGCTTTGTTTCTTTCAGTATTTAAGACCAACAGAATCAAATCAACTGAAAGCAAGTAAGTTAATAAGATGCCCTTATTAGCATTTAGAATTGAGAAGACTCAATACATCCAGGATAAAAATACAACGGAAATACAGGACTGAATAAATTATAAATAGAATTTATTCTACAACTGGTGGTTTATAATTTATTATGACAGTAACACACACAACAACCACGCACAGCACCCAATGGCCCATACAGAATACCATGCTGACAATTGTATGTGTGCAAAATCATGCATTATGACCATAGATCATCACAAGTATAGAATGTACTTTTGGTCTCCCTCTCTTCTAAGTGTTTGGAGAAAGCAGAGGGCTAGAAAATTATCATGAATTATGTAATCTGCATGAAAGCTCAGTTTCATGTATTTGTATGTCTGTTTCTAAAATCCGGGGTTTTAAATAAAATTATTTAAGTAGAAACCTAAAATTATTGTTGCGGAAACAAGCAACCAGATAATCACAATTTTATTTTTATAAATATAAACATAAATAAGATACATAGGAATGTTATGTAATAACACAACCAAAAGATGTAAGTTTTCACAACTATATCTGATGCACTGTATCTGAGAAAAAAAGCCAGGATTATTTTAGCAGTAAAGTGAAAAAAGAATATTGTTATTTTAGATCTTATTTCCATTTATGATGTAAGACTAGCTTTATAATTCTTTCAAAACATCTGTAAGACAGAAAACTAAATCCCTGTTGAAAGAATATGAAATATTTATTCATTATTTCTTATAAGTTAAACAATGCTTTGAGATCAAAAATAACAAAAAAAAATACTCAAAACATTACCATCCAAGTCCTTGTGTAGGATCATCCAGAAGTACACGAATTATGTATAAGAAACAGCTCAGTAGCTTGAGAGAAAAATTGAATAATCGTATTCTCAGACCTATTTTAGAAAAAAAAAAAAAGAGAAAGAAATTCAGGTTCTTTGCAGTTTCATCCACTTTTAAAGTAAAACTAAGATGATGTAGAATAACCATGCTGCAGCAGAGCAAGTGTCAGTCTAGCCACTAACCCATCCCTGATATAGGTGACTGGCATATCCTACAGAAGACTGTAAGAATACGCCTGTCAGATACACATACAATGCACCTTTTCAGCTTCCAGAAATCTCTAGGTTAATCCTCTGTCTGGTTTAATGTAAAGAACTACTCGGTCATTTGTCTGAAATCTGGTCTATGCTATTTGTCCTCTCAAAGCCATTCTTTGGGTCTTTTATAGATTTACAAACCCATCTTCTTGAAAGGGGAACCTGAACTACATATGGTATTTGAGATGCGAGATGCAGCAACCTGAAGAAGAGATATACAATGGCAAGTATTTAATTATTAATATCTGAAAGTCTTCATGAAGTAACTTCTCATACAGCATATATTAATATTATCCCAGTTTATACAATATTAAGCTGTATCTGTTTAATGAAGAAGTTGCATAATTATGTGTCCAAGAATAAGGGCACCTGAAACTCCTGTTGAAGGCATAACTGAACTGAATCAACAACTTGTTCTATAGACCTTATGAATACTGGAATGTTCTAGCTGAAAAGTTGTATCACATATACTATCACAAAATATTACAGTACTGCCCACAAGCATAGGTCTACTGCACAAAGACAAGATTCCTTCAAAAGGATCCACATGGACACTTGCTTCTACAACATGGGCAATGTATTTCAGTGCTAATTGAAGCCATTATCTACTACAGTGGAACTTAACTGTATTTCAATCAGATTTTGTAGTCAATAGAAGATCAGTTTGAATTTCCAACCTTGTTATTAAATTCAATAGTCTTAAAATTTTGCCCGTGTAAATATTTGTATCTAACTCTTGGTTTCATTCACTAATTAAATTAAAACTGTGGGTTGACTAAGGTTAAGTGGGGAGTCAGTTTAAGCATTACTTTTTTTCACTCTTGTGAACTGAGAGTCCAGTTCTACTTGGCTGAACCCTTCCGTCCAAAGCAGAACACCATTGCCCAAGTCGTACACAGGTGTGACTTCATTTGCACCTTGTCACAGTAAAGACAGTATCCTTTATTTTGTCTTGCAAATATGTTAGCAGGTCTGCTGAACTGAATATCATTACTTCTACGGTTTAAGAACTGCAGCTTCCTTATGCATATCCAAAGCTGTGTGCACACATTCCCTTTTGACTACAGACTTGTAATCACCTTATGGTAATGCTACATACTTTTTGACTTTACTCAGTCAAGTTCAAAATGAACACCTTACAGACAAAACTGATAAACCACCTCTTCTATCTACTAGCTCCCTTCCCATTAAAACATAATCTACAGCAAACAGAAAAATGGAAAATAGTTTCTTAAATATTCCACCATGCAATTGCTGAAAGAAATCGTAAGGTTTATTATACAACACTGCTTTACTGCTTTTAACTGTGAAGTTGTAGTTATCACAGGAGAACCAGATAGACTTTTACATCATCTTGTTATGTGTGAACTAGGGGTTAAAATCCTGTGGGCTTGACCAGGAGAAGTCCTACAGCTGTTACTGGCAATCATGTCTGTGAACATTAACCTGGCAATTCCTGCTTTCCTATCAAGAGTAATTAGCCACAGACTATTTATTCCCCAACAGGAGTGAAGGAGTTGAAGCAGTAAATGGATTGAGGGCCTGTTGAAGTGTGTTGTCATTTGACTAGGAAAAACACTTTTCTTGGACAATGCTGTGATCTTTTTTCATAGCTTTTTTTAACTGTTACTGAAAAAAGCATGAATTGTTTGTCTGTGCTAACCCTTTTGTAGAAGTCTGCTGGTGTATGACTGGTTGCCATAACAACTAGGCTATTACAACAAGCATAACAGATAATAGTAAAAAAAAAAAAAAAAAAGCCAAAACCCCCAAACAAAATTAAAAAAAAAAAAAAGCCTACCAGGATTACTTTTCCTTACTAATTTTGTGTTGTCTAGCTTTCTTAGGTAAGTACAAAAGTCTGTTGTTTATGTCTTCTGATTTCTAGCTCTGTAAATGTTAATCTTGGGGTGAAATACTACTTTTCTTCATTGCTAATGGTCTGGTTTTAATAAAAATTTGAAATTATATGTTAAGTTTAACTGTTAAAAGAAAATGGTGCTTTTCTGATTAAAAACTACATTGATACAAGGTCCTGTTTGCTCCCTTAAACTCTTAACTCTCAAATATTAGTCCTGAAAGATCTAGAACCAAGTATTCAAATATTTAATATTCATAGATCTATTCCAGGCTATGCCAAGAAGTGCTTCAGGTTCTGAATATCTCCAGAGGAATGGCTGTTCCCCCCCAGAATATAAGGCAGGGCTTTCCCACCAGATGTGTTCACTTAAGTGTTCTAGAGTGCATATCATGGACTGCCTTATACATAAAGTATGGCAACAGGATATGTCTTGTACCATGTGTGACTGGGTCAGTTATTACAATATAAACACAGAACAGGCTTCAAGTCTGTCCTGTTTCAGAGGATCACCCCTCCTAGTTGTGTATGCTTCGGCCTTTAGGAATAGGATGTGCTGTCAGAGGGATAGTGTTTAGTGATTTCTGCTAAAGCTTTAGTAACTAATGTAGGACTACCAAATAAATATTCTCTCTGGTCATAAAATTCTGTAGCCTCATAGCTGAGGATGTCACCTGTGAGTTGGAAAAAATGCATTTACTCCACTATCATGGAGATCTAGGTTTTCAAATATGGGAAGGAGGAGACAATTGCTAGAGAAGGCATTTAAAATAGGTTTTCATTTATTACTCTGTTACAAAGAAAGCATTTCATATTTCTCTTTGTGATCTATTTTCATCCTCTATTTTGCATGTTGTCAGTGCATCAACACAGTCTGCTCGACTTAATTTCTTTTCTTCCATTCACAGCCAGATTGTTCAAGTAGCAGGGTCACTTGCAGAGAACATCTCTGTTTTGACATTGGTGCCTGAAATGTATTCAGCTACACTGAATCAATCGTACACTGCTATCCAGCTATGTATTGTTTAATGAGATTGTAATTTCACTGTGGCTGTGTAACCCCAGTGTTACAACATTTGTCTTCTGTAAGAGAAGAAGTTTATAATAACAGTTCAAAATATGGTTGGTTGGGACATAAATATAACTATTGTCAAACATTAATGTTTCCTGCTCAGTTTGAACAAGTTTGCTACTTCTTGCAGACACCTTTAGGTACAGAGCAATATGTTACACTTTTTATTACAAATTCTTAAAGCTTCCCCTACAAGCATTTTTGGAGATTAACCCTCTGCTTTAGAGACCTGATCTAAATCAAACCAACAGTGACAGAGAAAGCAGCTGAAGATTTAATGATCACCTTCCATTATTCCTTTCTCTTAAGTCTCAAACATATATTTTTGAGTTTTAGCAACATCACCTCAGTAGCAGTTGGCTTTAGGAGTTGGATCAAAATATAATGTTAATAATTTATAGCGTGGTGATGGTTGTCTTTTACTGCCTCTCAACTGAATTGAAACTTCACTTATTTTTTTCCCTTTGAGACTTATTTTTGGCTGTGATAATGCAGTTTGTGATCTTGGCAAGTACAAGCAAGTCATCAACATGTCGTGTTTTTTTTTTTTTTCCTCTCTCTTTCTTTGGTTTGGTATAGTTTTGTTTCTGTTTTTTTTTTTTTGGCTGCCTGACACTTTTATAAAATGCTTTTCATGCATTGGTTGAACTTGATCAGATGCTTGCAGAAGACTAAGTGGAAGCCAGGCTGATATTAGACATAGATGAAGGCTTGTTTTATCAGTTTAGAGAAATAATTCTGAAATCAGAATAATAAATGAAACACTTGATATTTCATGCTACCGGTCTGTATGTGATTTATATCAGAATAGTATTCTACAGAAAATTCATTCAAATTCTAGAGTTTACTGGTCTGTTTGACAATACCACATGATATTACACTCTGATGTGTTAAATTCACTCGTGAAGTCTTGAGGATTAGCAAAAACTGGTGAACGTGTAGTTTGATTTAGTTATACTATCTGAAAACTCGCTGGTACTACAGACAATTATTTTCTCAGTGATAGCACTTATATCTTTAGTACGTGAGGGAAGGTTTTCAGTGCTCTCACTAAAGGCTGAGCAGGAGCTAAAGGGCAATATCTTTATTAATCAATTCCTTGACACCTCTGGGCAACAGAATCCTACAATTGAATGAGTACACTTGAGGAGTGGCAGGTACTATTTCAGCAGTAGGTTTTTGGAGATTACATTTTAGAAGATTGTTTGTATTTGTACATGAACCAAAATCTGCATAAGCAGGAGGAGTGTTTGAATTTACTAATTCTAAGCAGTTTGGTTTGGGGGATTTATTTTTTTTTCCATTCAGTATAGTAATAGTTTTGCTGTATTTCCTGTGTTTCTCCTGAAAATTGCCTTGTTTAATATCTAATTGTTGGTTAATCTTCTAGTATCGTGAGAACCAGCAGCAGTGCTTGGGTTACTTCTCAGGTTCTTGTGGGAAAAGGCATGCCCATGCCATACGCTGCTGTAGGTACACTAAGCACCCTCATTCTCTAACTTCCTTGCTGTGAATTGGCTGCATAATTCAACAATAGAAAAAATATGCCCCTCCCTTATAGTTCTCTGGAATCTTCTCTAGAGGACCTGTCAGGAAAAGAGGGTGTCCATAATGACAGTGTCTCTACCAGCTATGTACAAGAAGTCATTATTGTGTTTTCGTTTTTAATTAAAACCACAGCATATTTCTACAAAATTTACCTCAGCTCTGTATGGCACCACTGTGTAGGAGAATTCATTAGAATCTGGATTTTTCCAGCAATGATCAAGCAAGCCAAGCAGGAAAATTCTTGTGCTACTTCTCTAGCACGAATACATCTCCAATAGGATGAATTAACAGTTGCTTCCCACTCTCTTGCTTATTTCAAATAATCTTCCACATCATTCCTGTCCTTCGGACCCATAAATCACACTTAATCATAACCTAACAAGAGACATCCCAGTATAGTAACTTATGACAATTCTCTTACTGTGCTTAGCCAGAACAGTATGCACTTGGCAAATGAATAGCCATGAATTCATGCTAATTAACTAACTTCTAGTTTAACTTTTGCATTGATGATTAAAAATTTATTTCAGATGCGGAGAGTCTGCAGTTCTGCCATCAAAATATGTATCTGTATATATGTATGTTTTTCAGTCTTGTTAAGATCTACATAGGGAAAAATTCTTTGTTATATGAAGCAAGAAGGTACCATTTGGTGAGAAGAAATTTACGGAAAGACAAAACATAACTTTATAGCTGTTCTTAGTAAGTAATCAAGAGTGCTTCAAATCCCTGATTTTTGGAGTAGATCAGGAACAAAAAGGCTACTTATTACTTTCAGCTTTCCAGACTGCCTTTCTAGCCAGGAGTGATACCCTTTTCTAGTTTAGGATGCTTTTTGTCTCTTAATCCATTATATGTTACATCAACTATGCCACAAGTTAAAGGCAATAAAGATACAAGATACGTTAAGACTTATAAAATCACAGGAAGAAAAGTAAAAGATTAAAATCATTTGAGAAGTTGTACTGCAAACAATTACATTAAAATGCAAGTCTAGTAATTTATCTCTAACAAAAATCTCAGAATAGGTGAGGTTGGAAGGGACCTCTGGAAGCCATTTTGTCCACCCTCCCTGCTCAAGTAGGGTCACCTAGAGCTGGCTGCCCAGGACCACGCCTAGACTTTTTTAATATCTCTGTGGAGTGAGACTCCAAAACTTACACACAAAAAAAGTATGAGCAAAATTTTATTCACTGCAATACAGTTATATTTGTAAACATAAAATGGTATAAGAAATTGTTCTTCACGCATCTCCTTTCTTTGTTCTATGCATACTGAGTGTTCACATTCTTTTAATATTGGTTGAAATGCAATAAAAGAGCTCTAAAGTATGCTAATATAGAATAAGAAACCTGTTTCAAATAAAAATCTTCATTAGAAAATAAATTTGCCAAACAAACCTAGTTAAAAGTATAAAAATGTGGAAAAAAAAAAAAACACTACTGTCTCACCTGAAGTTTAGAAGAAGTTTAGAGTATCATCTCAGAGAAGATACTCTGAAGGCTATCAACATCATTTACTAGCAGAGATAGTCCTCTGTTTTGTATGCTATTCAGGCACTAGAATTAAGATTAATTTTCCTACATGTCTATATAAGTGTAATAAACAAAGCTTTCCACATGGATGAACCTACAGCAGCTTTATTTAAACCTGATTCTGCAGATGGAAACTGGCAAATAATTCCAAAGCTCAAACTCAAAATTTCAGTTATTCACAGGACAATGCTTTTCTTTTCTTTTCTTTTCTTTTCTTTTCTTTTCTTTTCTTTTCTTTTCTTTTCTTTTCTTTTCTTTTCTTTTCTTTTTTTTAAGGGAATATTTTGCTTATCATACTTGGAAAGTTAGAGAAGCTTAGCCAACAAGAAGACCATGTTCTGTAATGTAAAATAGTATTTATTTAATACTGTCTTTTACAGATAGAAGATCTTATGGTCTGTCGTACTTTTAAGTACTTACTTTTAACTCGATCTAGTCTCCCAAATTTTGTCTGTCTAGGGTTTTTTTTGGATTAGGACACCAAAAAAAAAAGTAGTCTTTTCTCTCCTCCTTTCCAAGACATAAAGTCATGGAATCAATATATCTTAACTGTATTACAAAGGCCAAAATGTATTCCTTCTATTCAAAAGGATTTATGTATAAAGCTATTTTAATTCTTTACAGGTGTAGGGCAAATGGAGGTTAACTCAATCCTGCTACACAAAGGAAAATTGAGGTCACTTAGTGCTCTCCTCAGCTCTGAACTCTTACTGGTCTAAACAAGTTTTGATAACATACAATACTTCTATCCCCTTGGACCAGCTGCATGGATGTATATAAGAAGAGAAATACCTTAGTTCCTCCACATTATTCTCTTCAGTGATGGCCTATGAATTTCAGTTCACATGTCAGTGAAGACATGGTTAAATCAGACTAAAGACAAGCATCACATTCAGGAGAAGAAGGTATGTTCTCCCCATTAGTTTCCTTTCCCAACTTTTTTTTTTTTTTTTCAGTACACAACAAGTTTGTTTTAGTACACATCAAGTTTTGAATACTTCAAAAAGCTACATATTTCTGCAGCTCTGTTCCTCTAGCATCTTAGTGGATCTTTGCTTTCCTAGGTATAAAGTCATGGCTTGTCAACGACCATCACAATGGCAGATCCATGCAAACTGGTCAACTTGATCACGATATAGAAATAACATCCCATTACTAAGTATTTGATTCTACAAAACATGTATGCTGGTTTCAAATTTGTTTTGAATATTACATAAAGCTGACTCCTCTCGAGAGTAAAACTAGCTCAGAAGAAAATTAATGATACTTTTGCTGTTGCCTTCAACAGAATTGGATTTTACTCAAAGTATCACAATTATGCTTAACAGAAATTAAACCAGTTGCTTACTTGATCTTTGGTTTTTGATGAAGAAAAGCTTTAGTCTTTCTTTAAATGTATTTTCATTCATATAGAATTCAACTTGCACCCTGAAATATAAAAGGAAGCATTAGAACTGAATGTGAAAGATAATAAATTATTTTTTTAAAATAATTTGTTTCCTTAATCATCTGTTCTTTATATATAGCTGGAGGAACATACAGCAACTGTTCAGCCAAAAGCTCACTTAGATGTGAATGACTAATGTTAGAAGATTTTAAAAAAGAAAAAAAATAACAAACAAAACAACAAACCAAATACCTTATTTAGTTTATCCCCTTTACATGCAGAATCATTTTCATATTACTTGGGCATGATATATTGCAAAATCAGAAGCAACTACAGCTTTGGTATTTTCACTGGAAGACTATTCTCATATCTACAACTTTGTAAAGAACGTTTCCTTAATGTTCAGGTTAAATCTATCTCTGTTCAACTCCCTTCCTGTAAAATTGGCATTTTAATGATTCTTCTTTTTTCTATCTTGTTCGTATCTCTGTTAAACATTCATGTCTTAGTTAAGCATTGACTTGTTTGTGTTCACCTTTAATCAAATGCTCGCACACCAAACAAACCACCCTCTCTGAACTTCGCTTTTGTCACAATGAAATACTGAGACCTGAAAGAAAATTGTTGCAATCATATGATAGCACACAGAAAATAACTCCCATTCTTGATTATGTTCAAGAAACTGTAACATCTTTTTTTCCTCCCTCCCAAAATTGTGAAGATGTATTTCATGTTTCTGTCCCTCAATTCAGTCTGAGTACAACTCAGGCAATAGTTTTACAGACTAGAAGAGAGAAGAAAACTGTTGCAGGGCCTGGCAAGGGAAAGTGTACATCAGCTGTACAGAAAAAATTTGGTCTCTTTTGAGTTGTGAAGTTGCTGCTTGCTGTAGGATGAGTGCAGCATTAATTCCATTTCCACTGAAGTCCCTGTTCTACCTAGCTGACTGGATCTCCCTCACTAATCCCAGTTCTCCTCCAGAAGTGAACCACTTGACACCAGCACAATTTCTGTGACTCCCTGAGAATTCAGTCCTCAGTTTGAGAACTGTTCTACTATTGCTAAGGAATAAAGTGACACCACAAAAGTGAGTTAATGCCTTAGTTTTTACTTTCTCTGTATATCATCATGTGTTGCAAAATTGCATTTACCTTTTCTGCTCATAGGCATGTGTGACCTTTATCTGAGCATTTTTTTAGCAGTCTTTCATCAAATGATTGTACTACAATTACTTGTTCTTATATGTACTGTCATATTTATCTGTAAATACATGTCCACATCCATTATATACATACCTCTTCTGTAATAACATCTTTAAGCAGCTGGAATTAAAGACAAGGAACTACCTCTCATCTTGTTTTTAAAGTAAGAGTAGCTGCAACTGCCTAACTCAGAGCGCTTGGGCCCAGAAGAATGTCCTAGAAACTGCCATCAAACTGGAGGAAAAGCCCATCAGATGAAGAGCAACTTGTTTCTGGACATTTACCGAGCTTAGACTACATGTTGTGCTGCTCAGGACTGCAGGAGTCATTGCCATTAACAGAGGTACAATTTAGATGGTTGGTAACCTTAAAGCAAGTTAAGGAAGCATGTCTAAGGGTTAATTATTAGTAGGTGAGCAGGTTTATGAGGCCCTAAGCTCTGTCTCAGTTCTTTTTTACATATTTCCCAAGCGACTTACTGTCGTTAATGCAATGACGCTTTTAGTGGGAAATATTTCCCATGATTTGGAAGCAGCCACATGCTAAGTGTATACACTTAATTTTCAAGGACATGTTTCAGTAGGTAAACAGAGTAGCACAAGCTACTGAAGTAAGAGACATTATTTATAAAGTGCAAAGTACCAATGATCTTTTTTATGCATTTTAAACTAATCGCACCGATTTTTTGGTAGTAAATATTACAGTAGTCACTTACCATGAAAGAACATGTTAACAGTTACCCATTATTTAATAGTAATGATGAAAGAGGATGTGGAAGATAATCACCTTCCTATCACTCCCGTTCCGAATTGCCCTGATAGCCTTCTAACAGCTGTCTACTCCTCTTTCCTTAGCAACTGCTGTGCTCACAGCAGACTGGGATTCCACAGTGCAGCAGTTTCCATGGCAAAATGGATTACAAATGCTGCTAATACCACTTCTGTGGCTCAAGTCCTTCTCCTTCCCCCTTTTTTAAACTTGGGTAAAAATTATATCACAGCCCTTCACGTTTGCAGGAAATACACTGTCATCTGTCTATCATCAACATACACTTTCATAACACCCCAGCTACCAGGGAGTATTTCACTTGGTAAATAGTAACTTTTAAGAAACAAAGTAAAGCTAAGAAGGATCCACTGGCAGGGATAAGAACAGAAACCTCGAGATGATGTTCCTTCCTAATACTCTGCTTTTTACTTTTGGGGAAAACAATCATTCTACTTGAATCTTTATTGTAATCTTTGAATGACTAAAATTTCACCTGAAGTACTTGCTCCTTTTTTATTCACACTATGAAGTGTAACCTAGAAGAGCAGTGTTTCAGGAACATAACATAAATAAAGTCTGCTCCTCACTTGCAATATTAAGATCATTTAGTAGTAGTGAAGGGCTTGAACAAGCTTTTTCTGGTATCAAGTAAAAGTTAGTGAGGATATTTCAAGTGGGTGCAATTCATTGCCAATATCTATACAAAATTTGATTATTCGGTTGCAGGATAAATACCAGTTGGAATTTGATTCCAAGCAGATGGTTTTGATGAAATGGCACACCTTCAGTACACGGTGATAGTACATGAGAACGTAGATCATCTGGCCTATGGAGTAGGTATGGGTTTGTTCCATATTTCTAATGTAAGTAATTAAAAAGTGTAGTTTAAACAATTTGTGCTTCATGATTTTTATCTTCCTGTAAAACACAGTTGTAGCTCAGTCCACCATGACCAAACGAAATCAAGATGAAGGATTAAAACACTATTCCTTGACAGGGGTTACTGGGACAGGAATGTTTGTGTATGCAGTCAACTGCTTCTGTTCTCTCTGTGTGTTGGGTATTGAATAATCCATGAAAAGCTGCTTTTGAAAGTGAAAGAACAGGTCTTATGCTTTACTGACTCTTGCTTCAGCTTTACTGAAAGTACACAAATACATCGCTGGTATATGTGGTATATATACAACTGAAGTTGTATGATTCTCTTGAAAACAGTGTGTTTTTTTAACCTTCTTCTTAAATACCATTAATAGTGGTTTTCCCTAGTTTAAACTCAAAGAACAGTGATGTCAGTGGAATCTTTCAAACTGTAAGAGGCATCTTGAAGTACCCAAAGTACAAGCATACATTGTACTCTTTTAATTCAGTCAAGATGTAATTTGAGTATTACATTTAATGTAATACAAAGTATAGCAGGAAAATAATAATTCCTGCCAAGGACACTAATGCAAAGCATTTCTTCTCATGACTGTAAATCACTGGGACCAATCTGTCTGCATTCTGGTTACTTAACTAATTTCGGCTTTATTTTTCCATTGTTATTTACAATGTCATTCTAGCCACACTTTACTATAGTAACAATGTTCTCTTGCAATCTACAAATTGTCTTTCTTTTGTGTTAGAAAATAGCAGATTTGGCAGAAATAATCCCTTCAAAAATGAAAATATGGGTTGGATTTCTCACTATATGCCTGCTAGGAGCTGTAAATGTTTATGCTCACTACTTCTTGACACTGGACTCAAGAAAAGGTGTTAACTGTACAAATGAAGCCAATCTGAAGAAAACCTACCTTTTTATTTACATCCATTTTTATGGGAAGGGATATTTCATGTTTTTCCTACAAAAACAGCCTTGCAATACAGATGCAATAATGTTTTTTTTAATTGGAACTTACCAATCCAATATATGTGAAATCCTGTTAGATTTAAACCTGGAAGTTCATTATGCAGAATGTAGACAGGTGCTTAAAAATATAGTATTTCAAGTACTAACGTGAACTACTGTTGTCAGAGCTTTTCACTGAAAAAAAAACAAAAACAAAAAAAAAAAAGGGGTATGTTTTTCTTTTAGCTTTTAATGAAAGATTACTGTATTTCAATCATGACTGTCTTGGCTAGTAGCTCTCTTCCTTTTGAAGTTTTGCAAGTTCCAAAATACTCAGAATTATGATTAAGTTTCAAGCTTCACACAGAAATAGTGGTCATTTTACTTTCCAGACATGCTTGTTCCATCGGAATCAATATGACAGATAAGACTACTTGTTGAATGATACCTCTTCATCTTGTGCTGAAGGCAACAGCAGTAAGATCAGCACTTTTCATTAGTGGTTCTTAACCTGTGAGGGGGCCTTCTATTTGTTTCTGGTAGGAAATAAGTCAACAGTTGCATAGGTGATGATGAACACTGAATGGATCAAGTTCTGAGTTTTTCATAGTCTGTCCATAGTGACTGGGAGCACCCCAAAACAAAAGGTAGCAATTGGAGAGGGCAGTGTGCTTGCTTCCTCCCACTTATTGGAAAGACAGAAAAGATGCTCCTTCTTCTGCAGCCTCCTAAGTTGGTAGCCCATTCTTGCAGTGTTAGCACAGCATGAGAGAGCTATGGAGAACAGGGCCTCAACATTTTTTCTGGGTACTTACTGAAGCTGTTTACCATGCACTAAGCTGATGAAATCTAACATTTCTAATATAGCCCTGCATGTTGTTGAAGGTGATTTCTAACAAGTGCAGGACAATTAAAAATCACAGGTACAAGGACTTTTTCTGGTAGGGTATTTAATCTGTTTGAGAAAAAAAAAAAAAAAGAATATTTTTCAAGATCTCTGCAGAACTTGTGTTCTTGTAATATTGTCTTGTAGATTCTTTATAACATCTAACATTGTGAATCTACATGGTAGAACATAGGTGTCATGTCTTCTAATAGTTGCCTTGTAGCATGCAGTATTACCTATTATCTCTTTGTTTTTCCAAACTAGTTTATCACAGTGCTCCTCGAGAACAACTTATGCGATGTAACTGTCTGGTTCAGTTTGAACTACCATGTAACAAAGACATGTTTGGTCATCTTAATA